ATCTCCTTAGTGCCAGAATTCTAAACCTTTGTCCATATATATTTATTTTTATTGTTGATTCCTGCTCTACTTGTACTGCATAACACACACACACACACACACACACACACACACACACACCGACAACAACACACAAAACCCAAACCAAATGCCATATTCTCTATGATAGTGATTATGACTTAGGCATGGTCATTTTTTGTCACATTCTGTCTGTACTCCTGAAGAACACACACTTTTAAACTTGTTGGCTGAAAGGTTGCATGTGTATATGCATATGTAACCAATGTTAATTGGACTACTCAAGCCATGTATTGCATATATAAATTATGCTGTTGGTAGATGCAATATTGTTATGTTTTGTGGATTTCTTCTTTTGTTGTCAGTCTGAGATGCCAGTCAGTGCTTTACTCAGGAAGATATTTCCTGTCTGATATTGTTAAAAGCTTTATTTGGGTTAGTAATTTGCTAGTGTGTATTTTTTTTATTTGTAATGTTTCTTTATGTTTTGCTTTAGATGTGTGTGACTCTAGAAATTGTTGTAGCTGCCCAGCTGAGCTGGTCTTTATGTAGCTCAGCAGTAGAACACTTGCCTGGTATGCACAAAGCCCTGGGTTTGATTCCCTGCACCCTTAGTGATGCAACAAAATCCCTTTATTACTTGATCCTTTAATATACTGATCTCAATCCTCACCCTTGATTGGCCTATTGGGATTCACTGTAACTATCTTATTCTGTGGTTTCTATTGGCCATTCCTTTGCTTCCTTCTGAACACCTTTTCTTAATTTCCTCTGGTTTGAAATACATTAGACCCTCACCCACATGTTGGTGAGGACACTGCATTACAGCACACACAGCATTTCTTTTACAGCTTGTGCTTTTAGTTAACTATTAGTTATGGACTGAGATGCTTCTTGTGGTGGTCTGAAAGAAAATGGCCCCATGGACTCATAGGGAGTGGCACTATTAGGAGGTGTGGCCATGTTGGCGTAGGTGTGGCGTTGTTGGGGGAAGTATGTCACTGGGGGGTGGCTTTGAGGTCTCAGATGCTCAGGCCAAGCCCAGTGTGGCTTTCTCTTCCTGCTGTCTGCTGATAAGGATGTAGAAATCTTTGTGGCTCTCTTTCCTCAGTGTTATTTTCTTTAGATTTAGATCTTGGATAAGTAATGTTGGAGAAATGTCCTTTGCCTTTAAAGCCCTCTGTGCTCTAGGTAGCTCACCCAGAACTTGGGCTGCTTCCTTGTGGCAGTGCAGTGGGTGTTTGATCTAACCCACAGAGGCAGGACGCCCCGCCAGTCAGGACAGCAGCAGATACGGGTTTGCATCTGAATTCCTTTTCCACCATCCTTTTCTTTCCTATCTCCAGACCACAGGCTGTGCTCGAGGCCACACTCTCACCCTGGGCCACACTCTTAGGTCCCTTTTCATCCAATGGCAGCCAGAGTGCCCACTGCTGCCTCTTCCCCTATGTGGGGGACATTCTGTGCTGACCATGCTGTATATGAGTTCCTTGTCAGGAATAGGGAAAGATTTCTTCTGATTCTAATCATTGCTTTTTCTTTCCGATTTTGTTTTTGTTATTTAAAATGTCATTTGTGTTAATTCAGAACATAGGGAATGAATTAAATTGGAATTTATATACACGCCTTGACTACAAACGAAGCTTGCTTGAATGTCAATATTTAGAGTTCAGTCGTGTTTCCCTTCAGTGAGGCCAGGTGACCTCTAAGGGTCCTACCCATCTTTAGAATGTTTATATTGGGGTGTATTTGTCATGATGCTCAGCACACAGCAGGTGCTGAATGCACAAGGGTATTCAGTGATGAAGTATTTTTTTTTACAAGACAGGGTTTCTCTGTATTGTTTTGGAGGCTGTCAGTCCAGCCTGGCCTCAAACTCACAGAGATCCGCCTGCCTCTGCCTCCCGAGTGCTGGGATTAAAGGCGTGCACCACCATTGCCCGGCTCAGTGATGAAGTATTATTATGGCTACTTTTCAGTTCCTGGGACAGAGCAGGGTAACTTATGGGAGGAAGGGTTTATTTGACTTATGCTTCTGGAGACTCTGTAACAGCAGGCGAGGAACAGCAGCAGGTGACTGGAGTGAGAGAACACACCTGCAACTGGAAATATGGAGCGGAGAGAGCAACTGAAGGAGCCTGAGGCTATGAATGCTCAAAGCCCACTCCAGTGACTGCTTCCTCCAGCAAGGCTGCACCACCTCCCTGAGCAGCACCAGCGAACGGAACCTAAACCTGTGGGGAATTTCTCATTCAGTACTCAAGTGACTTAAATATCTAATGTCGTGTGTGTATTCCTACTTAATGTCTCAAAATAGCTAAATACCCTGGGCAAATTCAGGTAAAGCAAGTGAATTGTCACAACTCGTTTAACCTGTGACTCCCACTGAAAACAAAACCAGGCATTATCTCTTTCTAGATGAGGAAAGAATGGAAATCACAGCCGGGTGTTGGTGGCACACGCCTTTAATCCCAGCACTCGGGAGGCAGAGGCAGGCGGATCTCTGTGAGTTCAAGGCCAGCCTGGTCTACAGAGTGAGTTCCAGGACAGGCTCCTAAACAATACAAAGAAACCCTGTCTCTAAAAACCAAAAAGAAAAGAAAAAAAAAAAGAATGGAAATCACATTCATTTCTGGTCTCCAAAGTAGAAATACTCTTTTCTGTATGCCCCACCATGCTTTCTGAAAACAGCCCATGTAACCCAACCTAACGAGAGAATTCAAGTTCCAGCCTCGATGCCCTCTCAGGGTCCAGGCTAGGGTTAGACAGCAGGCGGGTAGCGTCTTTCTAAAAGAGTTTGGGGGTGAGAGGGAAATAAACTGTCTCACACACGAGGTCTCTCATGGCTCTTTATTCTTCCAGAAAGTGCTCTTCCCAAGAAATTCCCTCTCAAAAGCTCTCTCAATGTTCTCTTAAGATCTAAAAGTTCCTTTGTGTAAAAGTTCTCCCGAGGTCCTCCCATCCCACAGGGCTTCTAGTGTTTCTATCCATAGGCCCGTTAAAAACTCTGACAATAGGGCATGCCTATCTCTCAGAGCCAGGCAGCAAAGCAGGTGCCTCACATCTCTCCCCTGGACATGACTTGCAACTGATCACTGATTAAAGGTGACTTCTCAGCCTATATCAAAGGGAAAAACTAAGGCTCTGTAGTGTGAGATCCGGAGCCTGCAGCTCTTACTGCTGATGCCCCAATGAGAAGGAATTTCCTTTCCCTGGGGCCTATTTGAGACTACAAAGCACCCAGTATGTATTCTACATACAGCCAAATTCATAGCAACACATATTCTGGAGCTGGTACCTAGAATATTAATTGCTACTTCTGTAGTAAATGAAAAAGACTCTCAGCAGCAACCAATGCGAGCTAGATGAGGAGGTTTCAGGTCTAACTCTGAACACGAAGTGGATTTCTAATGGATTTGTACATGGGATTCTCCAGTTCCAACAGCAAAGGAAATTGAAGATAGCCATGAAGTCATCTTGTACTACATCACAGTCACCCCAAACAAGGTGTGTTGGTCTGTGATGGCTCTGCTCCCCCACAGGCTGGCCCAGGCCTTGCTCACTGTGGATCTCAGAATGACCAGAGTGTCTGTACAACAGGGTTATAGCTAGAAAGAATGGTTCTCAACCTTTCTGACACTGTGACACTTTAATACAGTTCCTCCTGTTGTGGTGACCTTGACCATAAAATTATTTTCATTGCTACTTCCTAACTCTAATTTTGCTAGTCATAAAGTATCATGTAAATATCAGATATGCAGGATAGATATCTGATATTTGATCCCTCTGGGGGTCACGGCCCACAGGTTGAGACTGCTCCCAGAGCCCAAGTTCAGCTGTCACACAGCACACCTTGCATGCCATTTGTTGACCAAAGCAAATGGAGGTGCAATGGGAGACCCCGTTTCTCAGTGTGCAGAGCTACGATGTATAGCATCCATTTTTGCAGTCTCGCATGACAACAAGCTATAAAGCCAGAGATTGTATGACTTCCATTAGAGATTCAGAGTATACCTCCAGAGTTAAGACCCAGTACCTGAGGTGATTTCCCTTCTCACTGGTGTAGAACATAATCTCATGTATTCCTTTGAGGGTCACATCTCTTATTGAGGGTTGGGTGAGGTTGTCTGACCTCTGACCTCAGCCTGGAAGGAGAGAACTCCTGTCAAGTGGATTCCCTTGAGGAACACCCCAAGTTTAGTGGCTTAAACAACATTGTTTGGGGGCTTAGGGTTTCAGGGTTGGGGGAGGGGCATGGTTAACAGCGGTCTCCTGTGTGTTCCCTCAGCTGTGTTCCCACAGCTAGGTGGCTGTGGTTCTGGGGCATGAGTGGCCATCTTCGATAAAGTGTGTGTGTGTGTTGTGTGTGTGTGTGTGTTGGTGTGTGTGTGTGTGTGTTGGTGTGTGTGTGTGTTGTGTGTGTGTTTTGTGTGTGCGTGTGTGTGCGCGTGTGCGTGCGTGTGTGTGCGTGCGTGTGTGCGTGCGTGCGTGTGTTGGTGTGTGTGTGTGTTGTGTGTATGTGCGTGTGTGTGCGCGTGTGTGTGCGTGCGTGTGTGCGTGCGTGCGTGTGTGTGCGTGTGTGTTGGTGTGTGTGTTGGTGTGTGTGCGCGCGCGCGCGTGTGTGTGCGTGCGTGTGTGTGTGTGTGCGTGTGTGTGTTGGTGTGTGTGCGTGCGTGTGTGTGTGTGTGTGCGCGCGTGCGCATGCGCGCGCGCGCGCGCCACAGTGTACATGTAGGAGTCTGGGAACAACTTAGTGGAGTTGGTTTCCTCTTTGGACTTTATGTGAGCTCTGGGGCTAGAAGTCGTGTCATGCGGTCTGCGGTCAGTACCTTTACTGTCTTGGCCCCGATAGTGTCCATAAAGGACCTGGCTTAAAATCACAGCATCAGAACCAAGCTAATCCCACGATCTTTTTACTAATTTCAGTGAAAGAAATATAAAGAATCTTTATACAGTGAAAGCATTTGTGTTTGTATTTGCAGCTGTTTAGTGAAAAAATAAGTGGTGCCGAAGGAACGAAGCTAGATGATGTATTTCTGGACATGGAAAAGGTAAGGCTGTTTGAACATGTAAATAGTTAGAAATGAGATGTTCTTGCCATGCGAGAACACCTCCTACTGTAAAAAATATTACCAGGCGTGGAAATACAGAATGTTCAAATACAAATATGGGATGCACAATCTGGAAGGCAGGACCTCCTTGTTTCCCAGCTCTTTACGTCCTGACTTGAACCACATCCAGTTTGAACATGTTGAGGAAGGAAATTGGATGTGACTAACTGGTTCCCTCTAGTGTCCAGAAGTCAGAATGCACAAAAGGAGGCCTTAGCTGCAACTCCAGGGCCAAAGTAATTGTGCTCCTGTGTCTCGGGGAGTCAACTATTTCTGGGACATGGTTTTTCTGATAGATGGCAACTGATTAATCATTTGGGAATGGGGATGCTGTGCCCATATGTTTCAGCAGCTACACAGAAAATACTTTTTTGCCATTAGAACCGACGAATCCGGATGAGCTATTTTATCTTTTTGTAGCTGTGAGGCTTTAGGAATCATATATGCAGATGAAATACTTTAGAAGATCATTACTGGCTTGGCATGTCAATAGTGGACTTTAACATGCCAACAGAGGGCTGTAGAATCCGTCCCGTGTTGTGTCCCCTGATCACCTACCTGGAGGGTAGCTTCAGTACAGCAGAGCGGGGTTCACAGCTCGACTCCCTCCCCTTTGTCTTGGTTCCTTTAAGCAGAGCCTTGTTGTAATAATTAGATTCTCCAGACTGGAGAGAGGCCTGGAGGTGGCTGGCAGTGTGGGTTGGGTAGCCTCCATAATGGAGGTTGGGCCTGGCTAGCCTTCTTCCAGGAGGTCCCCTGCTTTCTACTCAAGAGGACTACAATTTCTAGAAATGTTAAGACCCTAATAAGAAAAACTTATTTGGTGTTTGACTTTGAAAAACAATAATTAATGCGAATTGAAAACCATACCAACATTTTAACATCATATCTGACATTGATTTTTTAAAATTCCTTAATGTGCAAAGATAGAACCTATATCATCTTTACCATCAAGATTATCCAACTTGAATGCTCAACTTAAAAACAAGTATCAGGAGTTGTGGTATCCAGGCTTTTAGAATCATACCTTGGGTTCCAGCAGTCCTGACGAGCTAGGCTCAGACATGTGTCCTCAGCAAGCCAGCTAGAGACCAGTAACGGTGAAAAGCACAGTGTAGCCACGCCTGCATTGAGAAGGAAGCACTCTGAGAGTCCTGTGTGAAACAGGTCCTATTTCAGCAGTGTAGAAGGCAGTACTGGTCAGGGTGTGGCCCCGCCCTTGACCTCTCTGCTTCTCTTCTGCAAGGTGGATCTTAAGCTGTCAGTGCAGTGTGAAACCACTGCCTGGAGACGGGGTTCTCCTTTGCAGGGTGCCAGGGCTTCCCAGGCTCCTCCTCTATAACATAGCATCCTGGGAAATGCTGGTACCCTGATAACCAGTGTGGGAGGGAGCAGCAGTGTTCTTGAAAGTGTTTTCACCCTCGTGGGTAGTTACAGCTCTAACTAGTAGACCGGGACCTCTCTTGTTTACTCCTGTGGTTTTTCTTTTTCTCTTCCAAAAACCACAGGCAGTGCCATGTGGCTGCTGGGAATGAAGCCCAGGTCCTCTGGAAGAGCAGCCAGTGCTCTTAACTGCCGAGCCATCTCTCCCGCCCAGATGCAGTCTTCTTAATGTAACCATTGCCCATGGTACCTCACACCTGTGCTCTGCTGCTCAGCCCCTGTGTTGGACTCTCCTGTGTCTGGGAGAGTGAGCGGGGCCCAGGCCTGGGTGTCCCAGATTTAATCCACAACACACAGCTTTCCCCAACACACTTAAGTCTCTACCTGCCTCTGTTTTTCCTGAGTTTTGTCAAGATATTTGCATAACAGTTTGTTAGTGCAGACACAACCTCCTATGCACATCCCCGGCCATTCTAAGAGGCCATTGTTTGGTTTTGTTTTTAAACTTCATGAGTTTCTTTTCAATTTTCCTTTAGACCACCTATCTTTGCCATCATGTTTGGCAATATGTATAGGATTTCCTTATTTGTTTCCCTTTCTGACTAGAGAGTTTTCCTTTACACACGTGTTTGACAGTGTATCCCACCAGATTATATATGTATTTTAAAATTATTTATAGTGAGAATTCTGAGCTTGATGGATGCTGACATTTTGTAGTTTTTTCTTCATTGTTTTCCACTTTTTGTAAACTTCAGTGTACTGTGTCTGTCACTGTTTAGTCTGAAAATTTTATGTGTCGCAGTTTGGTCTTTTATTGTTGATTGTGGGCATTTTGAGAAGTTCTTTTCTATCAGTTTCTCGGTCCATGTTTTCTGGTCCATATTTTAATCCTATATATAGTGTAAATTTTGAATTTTCCTTTATTATCAACTGTTTTAGTTAGGGTTTCTGTTGCTGCAACTAAACACCATGACAAAAACGGCTGGTTGGGGAGGAAAGGGTTATATTTGGTTTACACGTCCATATCCTTGTTCATCACTCAAACAGGGCAGGAACTTGGAGGCAGAGGCCACAGAGGAGGGAGGGAGGCTGGTTACTGGCTTGCTCCTTTTCAATAGAAATCTTCATAAGACTGGCCACTAATAATCACACAGCACAGTCAATACTAGGCTGTTTTGAAATCTCCTCTGCACTTGTCATTAATCCAAAGCTCTCTCTCTCTTTTTTTAAAATAATCCATTTCACTTCATTTTACACGCATTGGTGTGAAGGAGTCAGATCCCCTGAAACTGGAGTCACAGACAGTTGTAAGCTGCCATGTGGGTGCTGGGAATTGAACCCAGGTCTTCTGGAAGAACAGTCAGTGCTCTTAACTGCTGAGCCATCTCTCCAGCCCCCCCCCCCAAACTCTTCAATTTAGCCTCAAGCAGACATTTTGGACAAGGGCAAAAAAGCAGCCACATTCTTTGCCAATATATCACAAGACTGATCTCTAGGCCAGTTACTAATATTCTCCCCCACCCCAAGTTCCTTGAGCTAAGCTCCCATAGTTCAAATCACCCTCAGCACCACTGTCTTCCATGCTCCTACTGAAGCCCTGCTTAAAATGTCCAATAGCGCCAGGTGGCATTGACGCACACCTTTAATCCCAGCACTTGGGAGGCAGAGGCAGGTGGATCTCTGTGAGTTCGAGACCAGCCTGGTCTACAGAGTGAGTTCCAGGACAGCCTCCAAAACAATACAGAGAAACCCTGTCTCGAAAAACAAAACAAACAAACCGAGCAAAAATGTTCAGTCAGTTTTTCACACAAAGTCCCAAAGTGTTTCATATTCCTCCAAACAAAAGCATGGTCAGGCCTATCACAGCAATACCCCAATCCCTGGTATCAACTTTTGTTTTACTCAGTGTTTTATTGCTGAGAAGAGACACCATGACTACAGCAACTCTTAGAAAGAAAAGCATTTAACTGGGGCTGGCTTACAGTTTCAGAGGTGTAGTCATTATCATCATGGTGGCATGCAGGCAGACAAGGTGCTGGAGAAGGAGCTGAGAGTTCTGTATCCAAATCCAGGCACCAGAAAGAGAGACAGACACTGGGCTTGGCTTGAGCATTTGAAACCCTAAAGTGTCCCCCCACCCCAGTGACACACTTCCTCCAAGTCCACACCCACTGCAGCAAGGCCACACCCTCCTAATCCCTGTCAGGTAGCACCACTCCCTGATGACTAAGCATTCAAATATATGAGCCTATGGGGGCCATTCTTATTCAGGCACTCACATCAACTTACCATGTTTTGACTAAATATTGATATGTGAATTTTTAAATAGTTTGTGCTCGTAAGATTTATCCCTTTTTAGGACTGTTTTTTGAGTTGCTCTTGTGAATGACGTCTCCTTTTCCTTAATGTTTTTTTGGTGTGGGTTATTCGTGGTCTAGAATAAAGTGAATGAACTCTTGTATCATGGTTTTCCTGGATAGTCTTTTAATTTTATGCTAGTTAATAACCAGCAGTGCAGGAATGGCAGAAGGACAGTGTCAGGCTTCATGTGGCAGAGAAAACTCTGATGTTAACATCTGATAGGGCATGGTGGTTGTCTTACTATCACCAGGGTAGCTTCTAATATATATATATACATATATATATATATAACTATTATATTATACTTTATCTAAGCATGGTTATTCAAGTTCACTCTGTAGGTTAAAGTGTAGTTTTAGCATTGAGAGTTCTCCAAGTGTCTCTATTCAAGTAGAGTCATAATGTATCAAATATCTCTAATTCTTATTCACATCCATTTTAACATTATAAAGAAAAGGAAGTCAGTGTTCTCCAATGTCACTGAGAAGAGTTGATTTCTCAGAGTCACAACAGAGCAGAGATCACTTCTCCCAAAGATATTGAAAACATCCATGTTAAAATTGCCACAGTAGGGATGGAGAGATGGCTCAGTGGTTAAGAGCAGGCACTGTGTACTGGTTGCTCTTTCAGAGAACCCGGGATCAATTCCCAGCACCCACTTGGCAGCTCATAACTGTCTAAGTCCAGTTCCAGGAGATCCAACACCTTCACACAGGCATACATGTAGGCAAAACACCAATGCACATGAAATAGAAAGAAACAAAAGAAATCACAGTGGTTTTGGAAGTTAAATGAATGGAAATGCTTGTTTGATCTGTGACTTTGGGAGTTTTAGATTCACTAACACTTCTGTTTTGTCTTGTTCTAAAGAAAGTAGAAATTACCAGTAAGGCTGTTTCAGAAATCATTTCAAGAGCCACAGAGTATCTCCAGCCCAATCCAGGTAATGTCAATGCATGTCTTAAAACATTCCCTTGACGTTTGTGTTCACGGTCTCTCTCAACCCCCAACTCCTTTGCATGAGGTTGACACAATTGGGAAGCAATGACTATGTCCAAATAATGAGACTCAGTTGTGGAATTTCCAGGGATACAATGTGGCTGTAGTGAGTCCTAGTTGTTGGGGACAACAGACATCTGGATGAGCTTTGGTGCACATGGTTAGAATGGAGTGTTGGTCTCAGGACAGGCAACCCTCAGTGGACATCCTCTTTAGTATTCTGTATTCTTCAGAAAACCACTGCATGTTTTAAAAATGTTTTATGAGTTTCCTTTTCTTAATGAACAAGAAAGTCCTATCTTGTTCTGAAAGGCTGTGGATTAATTTGAGAGGGTCTCACGTGACCCCGGTGCTGAAGTTGAGGCATGATTGCATGACCAGGTGGGAGCGGTGTGAAACATGTGAGCATCAGCTTCTTCACAGGCCTTAATCTCTGGGTCCTCACAGTGGCTGCCCCAGGCTGACGGGAGCCAGCAGAGGATGCCCAAGCCTAGTGCTTTTCCTCTTAGGATTTGCTGTGGGATTCACTGTGAGTCCCTTAGCCACAGGGCTCAGAAGACAAGCACCCACACTCTGAACATGTAAGAGCATACATTCAATCAGATCATCCAGGGAGAATGGTGTGTGTAAAGGGCTTTAAAGTCTCAAGAGAGCAATAGCCCTAAAATTCCCAGTGATGTGCGCTTTGTCCAGATTAGGGTCTGGAGTGATGAGTTCCTTTCCTAATGTTTCAGTCTATAAGATTCCATAGCATTGTTTCTATGTGAGGGCCTTCTAAGTTCTAGAATGCAAAGTCAGGCAGACCCCACACTTCAAAAGCTGACATTAAAATGGAATAGGGAGCACCTGGCTATCAGGGCAAGTGTCCCCTGGGCAGAGACCACTGGTTATCATGAAGATGAGGACGGTGCACCAGAAGCCTCTAATCCCACCTAATGGTCCTTACCCCATATACAACACACCCACTCTGACAGTGGAAAGGGAATCCAGTGTGACTCTACATTTCAACAAGGTGACTATATTGTTGAGAAGTACTTGTCTAGATTACATTAAATATAAGTGTCCTAGATACCAAGCTGGTGCCTTGGATTCTTAGCTTGGTGTGTAGCTTATAGTCTCCATTTCCCATAAATGCCATTTTGTCAAAGGGGCCCACCACAGTCCATTGGTCACACAGTAGGGATTCCTGCTGTACTTTACTTGACAGACAGTCTTGTGCATTTTAATAGTACCTGAAGTCTTCTTGTAGCATCTCTTTCCTGGCACCACCCCAGGATATTCTGCCACTCTGCAGCCTCACAGTGAGATCAGGAAGGGCAGACATTTTCTGTGGGGTCTCACATACCCATGTCAACACAGCATGTGTCCCAGATGTATTATTTACTTTCCCATTGCTGTGACAAGTAAAAGAAACTGGGCTTACAGTTTCAGAGGATTAAGAGTCCATGCTGGGGGAACAAGGTCATGGTGGCAGGAACAGCTGAGAGTTCACATCTCAAAAACTGCAAGCAGGAGGCAGAGGCCATACTGGAAATGACTTTGCCCCAAAGCCCACCCCAGTGACACCCTTCTTCCAACAAGGCCATACCTCTTAATCCTTCCCAAACAGTTTCATCAACTGAGGAAACAGACAAACATCTGAGCCTGTGGGGGCTGTTCTCATTCAAAACCCCGTGCTAGAACTATTAAATATTCAGTGCTTAAGTTAGAGACAGAAAAGAGGGTCAGAGCCATAGCTGCCTGCCGCCTCCCTGGGGACAGTTGCTGAGTTGCACCTGTGGAGGGGAGAAGCCACACAGGTGACTGTTCATTGTGGTGGCATCTGCCTCCTACCTGCCTGCCCCAGACCTCGTTTGTGACCTTGCGAATCCTCCTTTCAGTCAGTTCTTGGGAGCAGAGTGAGGGTGCTGGTGACCAACCTGCACCTCAGCAGTCCCGGTCTTCACTTACATTGTCCCCAGCACAAGTGGACGGTGGCTGCATGGGTGCCAGTGTTCAGCTCCAAGGTGTTGAAAATGTCACGGGTGCTTGTTAAGCACAGCTTACTGTGGTTCTCAACAACACAGTCTGCAGTGTCCATGACTTACTGTGGTTCTCAACAACACAGTCTGCAGTGTCCATGACTTACTGTGGTTCTAGACAACACAGTCTGCAGTGTCCATGACTTACTGTGGTTCTAGACAACATAGTCTGCAGTGTCCATGACTTACTGTGGTTCGGAGACAACACAGTCTGCAGTGTCCATGACTTACTGTGGTTCTAGACAACACAGTCTGCAGTGTCCATGACTTACTGTGGTTCTCAACAACACAGTCTGCAGTGTCCATGACTTACTGTGGTTCTAGACAACACAGTCTGCAGTGTCCATGACTTACTGTGGTTCTAGACAACACAGTCTGCAGTGTCCATGACTTACTGTGGTTCTCAACAACATAGTCTGCAGTGTCCATGACTGTTGTGGCTGTGCCAGTGTGCTTAGAGCCCCATGCCCCACCCTCGCAAAGGCTTTGAAGGTGGAGTGGCACATGCTTTGTGTCTCTGGTGTTGCCTGTGAGGACCTCGGTTTGGGTACCTGTGTTTGTTAAAGACAATGTGATTGTCACTGCACCTCGTAACCTTAAGGGATTACAAATGACAATGTTTTTAAGCATACAGAGCTAAGCTAGGAATGCTGAACACTGTGTCGAAGCTCCGAGGGCAGGTGAAGGCCACTGGCTACCCGCAGACAGAAGGCTTGCTGGGAGACTGTATGCTGAAATATGGCAAGGAGCTTGGAGAAGAATCTGCTTTTGGTGGGTACCCCAGCTCAGCTGGCATTGTGGGAACACCTGGGTGGTCTTTTGGTTGTCTACAATACCTGTGTCTTTGCAATGTAATAGTTTTTGCATATTACCAGAGTAGTATATTCATTACAGGGAGTTAGAAAACTAGTTAAGGAATCCACCTCCTTGTGCAGGCTCAGTTAAGCTGTTAGCCTTTGTATCTCTTGCTCATTCTCATATATTTTAAAGATTAAAACAGTCTACACACACACACACACACACACAATTTACTATTTACTTTCATGACCCCTTGGACTATAACTTGATATTTATCAGTCTTTGATCCTCCCTTCCCTAGTTTTTCCTCACCCTACCCTCTCCTCTGGTCCTTGTCCGCCCTTCTCTGTCCTTCTCCACCCTTCTCCATCCTTCTCCGTCCTTCTCCACCCTTCTCCGTCCTTCTCCACCATTCTCCATCCTTCTCCATCCTTCTCCGTCCTTCTCCACCCTTCTCTGTCCTTCTCCACTCTTCTCCATCCTTCTCCATCCTTCTCCGTCCTTGTACTTTCCTGAGGCGTGCGTTCTGTTATTGCCTTCACCCTTCCCATTTGAGATCTCATTTTCTCCTCTGTGGTCCCTGTTCAGTTTTATGACCTAACCTCCCCCCCACACCACACATGCAATAAACATAAAATCCAAGATCTGCATATTTGTCCTTTTGAATTTGACCTATTTCCCTGATTATATTTTCCAGCACTGCCTTTTTTCACACATTTCACGATTTCATTTTCCTTTCAAGCCTCACCAAATTCCACTGTGTGTGTGACCACCTTTTTTCCATCCATCCCTCTGGATAGACGGTTTTTGCTTTGTTTGTTTTGGGGGCAAGAGCCCATTGTGCATCCCTGTCTGGCCTGTAGCCCCCTCCAGTTCCAGGTTGACCTCAACTCTGCACCTTCTTTTGACATGCACTCCTTTGCTTGCCCTTATATTCCCAAGCTCTGAAAATCCTGCAGATAGGAGAGGATCTTTTAAAGTGTGTGTGTGTGTGTGTGTGTGTGTGTGTGTGCGTGTGTACATGTGTGTATGTGTGTACTGTGCCAGAGATAAGCCTCTGGTGTCACTCCTCAGGAGCTTCCACTCTGGTTTTTTTTTTTTTTACATAAAGCACTGTTTTATTTTTCCAAGGTGTTTGTCTTCATGAAGCCATCTCTTTACATGGGCTTTGGTGGAGGTCGTGGTGCAGCACCAGCGGGCCTAAACCGTGGTGGGGGTGTCCGGTCCTTCCGGGCTTCATGAGATCGATTCCTGACTACTTTGCTGTGAATGGCACAGCTCACACAGTAGTGCAGCTTGACATAGAGCTTGGGAAGCACATAAGCGTCGAAGACGCTCGCTTCGGATATGTCCCTGACAGCAGCGGCCTCCACTATGTTCCGAATGACGAACTTCTTAATCGCCTTGTCCTTGGGCACGCACCGGGCGCAGTTCGTGCAGCGAATGGGCTGCACGTGGCTGCGGCCCTTTTTGGCGCGCCCGTTGTTTCGTCTTTTTTTGGTCATCTTGGAGCCAAGACCCGAAAGCCACTCTGTTTTGAGATAAGGTCTCACACTAGAACTGGGCTTACCAACAGTTAGGCTAGGATGACTGGCCAGGGAGGCCCAGGGAACCTTTAGTTTCTACTTTCCCAGTACTGGTGTTACAATCACCCCTGGCATGGAATATATTCATTCTCAGGACTTGGAAGAGAGGCAAGAGGGTCGTGTTTCCTGAAGTAACTGGGAGGACTTGTCTCAGAAGGCACCAAACAAAGGCAGAGTTATTTAATTCTTAACAGAGGGTCTCAGTGTCCATAGAGCAGTGTAAATGTGGATTTTATTTTATTCCAAGGTCCAGTGGGAGCCAGGTGGCCTATTTTTCTTACCTTGAAGGTGCATCCATTGAGAAAACAGATGAGACCCTGGGATGGAAGGACACTGATGCTGTGCACCTGGCCATGATGGCAGGCCTGTGACAACAGACAGTTGAGCTAGCTATTGGAAGGAACTCCCATGAAGGGTGAGGATTGGTTTCATTAGGGCTCTGGGACAGAGGCCCGGTTCCCAGGAGAGCCTGGTCTACAAAGGTTCCTTGCTTTGTGCCTTTTGCTTGGGGCAGACCCTTCTGAAATGCAGAAAGTAGGCCATGCCGTGGTATTCAACAGTGCAGACTGTGGGAAGGTGACAGCCAATGCTCAGGACATAGTCACTGGCTTCTGAAGCAGGGGTGTTTGTGTGTACGCATGTGGTGCGTAGGTGTGCCTGTTCATGTGTGGAGGCTGGAAGTCTTCACCGGTCTCTTTCCACCGTATTATTTGCGACACAAACAGAGTGTGTCCCAGAGTGGCTGGCCAGCCAGCACTAGGGATCCTGTTGTTTCCCGTTCCTCAGCACTGGGATACAGGTGTGCCTTGGCAGCCCAGCTTTTTATATTGCTACATGGGTCCTCATGTGTGCACAGCAAGTACCTTACTGACGGGACATCTCCACAGTCCCCCAAATGTTTGCCACAGCTCAGTGGGATGATACAGGGATACCTGGGCCCTGGTGACAATGAATGTCAGACAGCTGGGCAGGAAGGAGCATCTAAGCAAGGAAAGACTTCCTTCCTCTGTGTAAGAGCCATCTGAGTAAAAACTGACAGCCCAGTTCAGAAAACCTCTCCTCCTAGTTGCAGTGACACCCAATGGGTTAGACTGGCATCCCGGCCAACCTTAATTTCCAGAGATGGTTTCCACTTCTAACCGGCGTAGACCCAGCTGTGAATTTCCTTCCTTTAAGAGTGGGCGAGGCAGCCAGTACTCTCCCTGTTTTTATGGCTGAGTGGATTGCCCATGCTCTCTCTCAGGCTTGAGCAGGGCCATTCAGGTTTCCAAGATCAATTTGGAAGATCCCAAATAAAGGAAACTTAGTTTAGTCTCATGCAGCGTTCCCAGGGGTGTCCCCCAAAGACCCCCAGCCCTTACTGTCCATGGCAGCCAGATGCTGTGTGGTAAAGACCTTGCAAGGTACAGCCAAGATGTCAGAGGATGGGTCACTAAAAATATGCTGCCACATTCAGGGAGTATCCCTTGCAGAGCATGCTGGTCACTGATAACTGAGAGCTCTGACCTTGGGGAGGTTCCAGAACTTTGGAACCATCTACAGGGAGTGGTGTCATACTGCTCCTACAGTAGGAGGAGCAATGCCTTGTTCCCATTGTAATTTGTACTGGTTAGCACATATCCCCACAAATGAATCCTCTCACTGTTTTCAAAGAGATTTTATCCTCGAACTCTAAGGAACCCTTGGTGCCAGTTTCTAGACCCGATTTTCCACAAAAGACCTTTATCTCCATCTAGTGGTCCAAGTGGGAAGTGCTTTGGTCTGCTAGCTCACTTAGCTTTGGAAACAGGTGGAAAACAGGTAAACGTTTTCCCTTTTCCTGTTATTTCTGAGTCAGGAAGCAGAGGCCTCAGAGCGAAGCCTCATTGTACCACAACCCTCAGGATTTGGAGAAAGAACTAGCGTCATCGTTAACTTAGAGTGTTATTCTGAAGGGAAGCTGTGTGTTCTTCTGTTTAAGGCAATGCACTGTTGGAAGTTGGTGAATCCATGAAACTCATGGCTGAGGTGAAGGATTCTCTGGATATTAATGTGAAGCAAACTTTTATTGACCCACTGCAACTACTGCAAGACAAAGATTTAAAAGAGATTGGGGTGAGTCTTCCCCACTGTGCTCATAATGACACCGTGACTTAAAACCGTGACAAGGCTTCTGCAAGCGACCAGCAAACATGATCTTATTAGAGGGTGAGAATGAGCTGGTTTACTATAGAGTATGGCTAGAGAGTCCTGGGTCCGTTTTCTCCGGAGTGGAGGTGCAAGCCCAGCTGTCACGTTCAGTTCTTCATCTCTACAAACCAGTCTGCACATCACATTTCTGCAGCCATTCCTCATTTGGACTCCATACTCTGCGATGGAGTTTTGATTGCCAATATCACACCGTATCGGTTGTGTGCTTGGATCCATTGCACTCCTGGTCATTATTTTCCATTGTTTGTCAAGGAAATCATTATCTACGAACTGAAAGTTTTCATCTGGAAACGGTTGTCCAGAGTGTCCCTGGGAACTTACAGTCATGTTCAGGCTGGCTGCTTTTGCAGATGTGTACAGTGTCTCCAAGCAATCCCCACCGCTAGACTTCTGCTCCCCGCGCCCTCTTGTGGCATTGTAGAGAATAACTTGAACCTTGGGCTCGTCTTTATGTCAAGTCTTAACAGTAGCCGCAGAGACTGAGTTCAAGGAGAGCTTGGGCTATTTGGAGAGCCCTTGTAACAAGCCGATGAAATGTGTGCTCTGCTGAAGCGCATAAATGTGGTGGAGAGTTACCCATGGTGGAGAGGCGAGAGCAGGGAGACCCTGAGGAGAGGGGCATGCTCATAGCTGGATGAGCGGAGGCCTCTGAGGAGCTGTCCAGGTAGACCTGGCTGGGTAAACACACAGCACATCTCACTGAAGGGGCTTATGCTGGCCAGGAGTCCAGGACACAGGGCAAAAACCAGGGGACCATGGGGGGAGGGAAGCGGGGAGTCCTGGGGAACCTCAGATGCCTTTGTCTGCATTTAGAGTTTATTCTAAGAGCAAAAGGTGTGAGGGCAGAATCCAGAAAGGCTGAATGAGACATAAAAGCTGCTTTTTGTACCCCCTCCTTATTTGGACACTCCTGAATCTCCTCCATGTTGTCACCCCTTCCTTCCATCCCAAGAAAAGCTTGTCCCCATTTCTGTGACAGCCCAGTCTCCAGGTCTGTCTGTCCTCACCCATCAAGACCCGTCATCCTGCCTGGCCATGCCTTCCTTCTTCCTGTTGACTTCTCCCTGGTGATGTCTAAACACATCATTACAGCATCCCAAGACGCTGGCCCCTTCTCCAGCTCCAGCTCTCAGCTAGAGGAATCTTCCCGAGGCCCAAGCCCTCAGGAGCTGACCCTGGCCTTGTGTGAAGAGCACGTGCTTTCACCTTCATTTGTCCCCGGGCCCCATCTCCAGCTGACCCTGTCCAGCCTCCAGGACTCACCCCCTCTCCCCAGGAGACATTAGTTTTTCTGTCACTATTGCTCTCTTTTTCTCACCCGAGCTTCTCTGATCTCAGCTTAGATGTTATTTCCCCTGGGAAGTCTCTGTTCCCTCTAGTCATGAGCGCTGTTGTCCGTCTCTTTCCCTCACGGGGCAGTGAGTCCCTTAGGGTGAGGAGCTCCGTTTTGCTCGGCACCAGCACCTCGAGAAATGGCACCTGATGTGTGAGGATAGCAGACACCTTTCCCAAACACAGAGCCTTGCACAGAGACCCAACCTCCACTGACCGGCACTAAATTTCTTCTCTTGTCAAGCTGTGACCTTGGGTGCACGTTCAGTCCACTGGCTGCTGCTGCTGCTCTGTGGGGCTGGGTCAGCAGGGGAGCACCATGGAGACGGTGAAAAGCACACTGCCATTCCCCTCGCAACAGAAGAAATTTCCCGAGTCGCATCCATTTCTGAGGTGGCCTGGGATTCATCATTCATATTCTATTACCATTTGGGAGCTTTAGGAGAATTCATGGACATCCAGTGAACACTAGACGTGCATGTTTTTATAGTCAGCCTCTTAGCGAGGAGTTGACAATGGAAATAGCCTCATCTTTTGCAGAGTTAATGTGGTTAGAGGAGATCTGTGCACGAGCAGAACTGGGCCAGGGTCCTTTGGAGGCTGGTAGAAGCGGTTAGCTGAGAGAGGGCACTGCTTCCTTCCTTAGGTTCCTCACACTCTCATTCTCCCACCCACCCATGCACCCGCTGTGTCCAATCTGTAACTGGTTCTGAGTGATTGGCAGCACGGGAAGCCTTCAACAGAAGCCACAGGATGCAGAGCAAGCAGAAGGGTATAATGGTTTCTTACCTGGAGGATGGATGGGGCAGAGGCTTACAAAGTCCCGCCCCCTAGCTGAGGCCTGGAATTCAGTGGCGGCCAGGGGAAGAAAGTCAGCTTTCTTCAGGAATGCTCCAGCAGATGGCTCTGTGCCCCTGCACTAAGTGGTCTCCATGGATTTGGAAAAAAAAAAAAGCACATGAAGTTGTGAAGGGGAAGTGGTGGGGGGAACAGGGAGACGACGTTGAAGGGGAGGGTGGGGCGTGGCTTGGATAAACGTGTATACGCATGTGAAATTCTCAAACAGCAAGAGGTAGAGGCTGAGAAGAAATGAGTGTGTCCATAGAGATAAAGATGATGTGTCCACACTCTGTGGGATTTCCTTTCTCTTTTTAGCACCACCTGAGAAAGCTGGAAGGCCGCCGCCTGGATTATGATTATAAAAAGAGGCGAGTAGGTAAGATACCCGAGGAAGAAATCAGACAAGCAATAGACAAGTTTGAAGAGTCGAAGGAACTGGCCGAAAGAAGCATGTTTAATTTTTTAGAAAATGATGTAAGTACTTAAGCCAAAACAGAAAACTTTAATGCACACGAGTAAAATATTGATGTATATGAGCATGACTGGCCTTTGAAGAAAACCTTAATTGTTATGGCAGTTTCTAGAATGTTCTATAGCTGTTACTCTATAGCCTTAGAGATAGTGGCAGATCCTCAACAATCCCTGACTGAAGCCTTAGGTCCTTGGGGAAGTTTGCTTACCTCTGGGTGTGGCCTTGTCACAGAGGGTGGTCTGGGGCTGTAGTTTTGCTGAGGTTGACCAGCACTCTCTGGAGCAGATGGTTGAGGGTGAAGGTCTGTCTCACCCTCCAGCCCTCTTAGGCTTTTCCCCATCAGAGTGAACACCAGAATATAAAAGCCTGGCCTATATGTTGGCTGGCTCACACTGGTGCTTGTGACCTTGGGGACTGCGAAGGTAGGGCCACACCCTCCAGACGCAGCAGCTTATAATGGAGCATTTCTTGTCACCAGCTCTTTTTAATTTGTCCAGATAGTGAAGTGAAGCTGAACTAAAGGGATCAGGAATTCCTAGGGGCAGGCTGGGGCCTCCCTTCTCTGCCTTGTTTACCATGCGTTGCTGATTGGTTACCCCTGTCTCTCTCCTAAATCCTCATCCTCAGACTAGTCCAGTGATGACATTGGGAAGCTGTGCTTCAGGGTAGTGAGTGATTGGGTGGATCCCCCCATCCTCAGGGTATCATCCTGGCTCAGAGTGAACATGACTGGACCCCTCTAATGCTGGTCAAACATAGTATGTCTACAACTCTGGCTCTGCCTGATGAATTTGATAATTCTTGGACCCTTAATTGGCTGGACTTTTATTTACTGTACTTAAAAGGAGGGATGGTGAGCTTTAGAGGTCTCAGCCCATGGCCAGCTGGCTCCATTCTTTCTGTGTTATGTGACATGGAGCATCATGGTGGGACAGAGCTGCTGCCCTTGGGGTGATCAGAAAGGAGATTCAGGTTTGGGGGTTGAGGGGAAAGGGGAGAAGAGAGAGAGAAGGGGAGGAGAGTGAGCATGAGTGCCAGCCCCTGGACAAGATACAGAGTGAGATACAGCCTTACCCTCTCCCTTATCCCTCCAGTGACTATCTCTTCCAAACTAGGTTTAGTCTCCTACGAAGTCCCATAAGTTGGCAACTATATTGCTATCATCTCTGGATCAAAACCTCATATCCAGAGTCTGACACACTTGACATTGTTCCTGTTGGAAATTGGTGAACAGGTTAGAAATATGGCTTCAGGAAGAACATGGTAGCAGACAGCAGATCCATGGCTTCCTTCAAACACAAGTGGGGGATGTTTATGACATCCTTAGGAGGAGCTGGGATCTCAACCACAGCAGACACTGGCTTGGGTTCCACCTAATGGAGAAATTGACAAAGGAGCCAGTTATCGGATGTAATTATCATTCTTCCAATCAACCATGGTGGAGGATAGAGCCCAGGGCCACAGTCTTAAAATTTCACTTTCGATGACCTGAGCTGATGGATGCCACCTGGCTCCACCGAGCACCATGTATGGCACTGACACTGGGTGAGCAGCCTCACCTGACTTCAGACCACGAGAATCGGTTACTGCGCAGGGTAAGGCGCACTGCTAAGGGCAGGCTCCCGTCTCCTCTGTAGAAGGAGAGAATGGAATCAGGACTTGTAAGCACCCACTCTAAGGAAACGCATGGACAGAGGGGTGTGAGTGAGAGCAAGCGTTGGAAATGCTGTCTCCACCCGTGGTCACCTCCTGAGGATGCTTCTGATGCTTCTGTGGCACCAGGAATTCCAAGGCTCAAACCTGACCTCCAGGGGGCAGGTGGGCCACTGTCTCTAGCCCTCATCTCCCACTGTCATGGATAAAATACAACAAGAGAGGGGGCTGAAGAGATGGCTCAGAGGTTAAGAGCACTGACTGCTCTTCCAAAGGTCCTGAGTTCAATTCCCAGCAACCACATGGTGGCTCACAACCATCTATAATGAGACCTGGTGCCCTTTTCTGGCCAGCAGATATACATGTAGGCAGAATACTGTATACATAATAAATAAATAAATAAATTTAAAAAAGATACAACAAGAGCTCCAAAAGATAATATGTGTATGGATATTCACCATGTGAGAGCAGTGCCCATGGAGGCCAACGAGGGCAACAGATCCCCTGATCCTAGAGTTCCAAAGGGTTGTGAATACCATGTGGTTGCTGGGAGTCAAACCCTGGTCCTCTGGAAGAGCAGCTCGTGCTCTTAAGGGTTGAGCCATCTCTCCAGCCTGGAGACAGCAATTGATTACCAGCACATGTATAGAAAAAGTGTTTGCCAAAGTCCTGCCTGAGAGGAGCTTAGAATGGGGTGAACAGACTGTCTTTCCTGGGTCTCCAAGTATAGATTATATAAGTCTTTCTTGAGCTTTCTGGCTACTTAGACTTTTTTAGGATAGCTCACCCCCGTGTCCTCAAACTTACACTCTGTATACACTGCTCTCTCTTCAAACCATTATAAGCCTTCTCCAGCCTACATTCTTGTAACTGAGAAACCAGCCTGGCATCCCTACACATGTCCAGCTATATCTGAAATCTAAACCCAGAAGGTCAGCTGCACTTGGCATCTTTTGGGCTCTTTCATAGCCTGCTTTATTGAGGAGAACATTCCAGAACCAGAGTAGTTCAGGTATCCTGGTAGCTAGAGGTGCTCCCTCCATCTCCCAAGTGAGAGAACCCATCTTTGGAATGGAAGAAGGAAGGGATGGCATGGGACTTGGGTTTTCACTCCACCATTCCTAAGCAAGCCACACTGGTTTACTCATCTGCTTTAGGCGGGTTTGGGGACGGGGGAGTAGGGTGAGTGGCCTTAGCCCCATATTGCCTTTGCTGGTCTTGTTGGGAACAACTGCATTCAAGGCCTGGGGGATCTTCTTAGTTGAGGCCAAGGGACTCCATTACTCCTCAGGCAGCCGTTTAAGCCAGGAGTGGTGGCTCTCTTGACTCCCAGGGATCTTAGCCAGATTGTGGCTGGCATCCAGCATGGACCTCTGGAGAAGGGCTGTGTGCCCACCACAGTTTACTATGAGATAGGGCTGCAGCAGGCAGGGGGATGGCTCTGACGATTCGTTGCCAGTTCTTGGGAATGACACCTGAGCCATAGGTTTAACAACTCTGAGAAGTTTATTCCTTATAACTCAACATGATTAAATGTCAGCCTTTGATCTTAAAAGAAACCAGACACATTAAAATTTAAAAATATCTCTTCCAATCCAGAGAGGCCAGGCTCTTGCAAAACGCACTCGCTGACAGATCCCCCAGCCAGAGGCCTCCCTTCATCCACAGAACCAATGGAATTACTGGATTCCAGAGACCTTGGTTCTCATTGGTCCAGAGAAGTATTTTCTTTAGGTCTCCATGTGCTCATGCATGTGTATGGATGCGCATGTGCGTGTGAGCGTGAGTGGGTGTGTGTGTTTGTGTGCATGTGTGTGTCTCAGTGTGTCTTAGTGTATGTTTGTGTCTGTATGGTGTGTGTGTGTGTGTATGTTCATGTGTTTGTCTGTCTCAACAGTGTGTGTGTCTGTGTGTGCATGTGTCTGTCTCAGTGTATGTTTGTGTCTGTATGTGTGTGCAGGTGTTTGTCTCAGCAGTGTGTGTGTGTGTCTGCGTGTGAATGTGTCTGTCTCAATATGTGTGTGTCTGTGTGTGCATGTGTTTGTCTGTCTCAGCAGTGTGTGTGTGTGTCTGTGTGTGCATGTGTCTGTCTCAATTTGTGTGTGTGTGTGCATGTGTCAGTCTTAGTGTATGTTCGTGTCTGTATGTGTGTGTGTGTGCTTGTATCTGTCTGTCTCTGTGAGCGTTTGTATGTATGTGTGTACGTGTGCATAGGGAGACCACAGGCTGACTTTGAGTGTCTTCTGCAATCACTCCCCGCCTTACTTTTGGAACAGTCTCCCACTGAATCTGGAGCTTATCCATTTGGTTAGACTGGCTGCCAGCAAGCCCCAGGGATCTTCTGTCTCTACCTCTCCAGCACTGGGGTTACAGGTGCACACCACTGTACCAGTTTTTTTTAAATGCAGACTCCATGGATCTGACTCAGAGTCACTGGAAAAACATCTCTGTTTACAGCACACACTGAGAAGTCACTTGAATTACCCCATTTAATATAGAAGGTTGCCCTCATGGCAAGCATGGGCTTCAGCTATGAAAGAGACTTGCTTGCCAACTTCCAAAGATCTGCATTTATCCTTTCATGCCAATCACACTGTGGCTCCTAGGCATCTGGGTTGGGGTGTCACAGCCCATTTCTTCTCAGCTGCCCATTTCTATGGTCCTCTTGCAGACTGTTGAGCTAGAGGGCTTTTGTAAGCTATAGTCTTTTGACCCTCTTTAGGAAGCCCAGGTCTATTGTAGTCATGTTCAGATCCCATGAGTGTCCCTGAGGTCCCACAGCTCATGGTGACTCTAATCCCCTGGTATCTGTGATCTGCCTCCATCCCCAGGACCCAGATACTCCCAATAACCTCATATTCTGGTGCTTTTCCATTGATTTGCAACCAAAGAGAGGTTGCAATTAGATGTGTGCATAGGTGGCTCAGGTTCTTATGCAGTATTCATAGGTGGCTCAGGTTCTTTTGTTTGTTTGTTTTTTTCGAGGCAGGGTTTCTCTGTGGCTTTGGAGGCTGTCCTGGAACTAGCTCTTGTAGACCAGGCTGGTCTCGAACTCACAGAGATCCACCTGCCTCTGCCTCCCGAGTGCTGGGATTAAAGGCGTGAGCCACCAATGCCCAGCTGGCTCAGGTTCTTATGCAGTATTCATAGGTGGCTCAGGTTCTTATGCAGAGTCTGTACTGTTTGTTGCCTCCACAGACCAGCTCGGAGAAGGCCAGGGATGCATAGCATAGCGCTAAGGTGGCAGTTTGCTTCCACGAGTCTCAAGGCCACAGCTTCCATCCCCAGGAAATGGAGACTCTAGCAGTGCTACCTACTCTTAGCTTTCCCTTGGTTGGAGAAGAGAAGAAAGTGGTGCTATTCATTTTCTGGGCTCCTGTGACAAGTGTCCGTAAGCACTGTGGCTTAGAGAATACCAGTCCATTGTCTTCCAGTCTGGAGGTTGGAAATCCGGTGATGGGGTAGGGGTTGAGGGGGCTTGGCACCTCAAGAAAGGGGACTATGTCACCCCTTTCTAGTCTCTTTAGCTCCATGGCCCCTAGCTTGGCTTCCTTCATCTGCAAAGCCAGCAGCAGAGTGTCTTCAAGCTTTCCACTCTGATGGTCTTGTATTCTGTGCCTCCTGTCTCCCTCTCAAAAATTGTCGTGTGTGTGTGTGTGTGTGTGTGTGTGTGTGTGTGTATGTGTGTGTGTGGTGTGTGTGTCTGTGTGTGTCTGTGCATGTGTGCAGTGCTGTGTGTCTGTGTCTGTGTGTGTATGTGTGTGTCTGTGTGTGGTGTGTTTGTGTGTGTGTGTGTGTGTGTGTGTGTGTGTGTGTGTGTAAGACAGTCTAGTATAGTTCAGACTGGCCTCAAACTTGCTCTACAATGAGTATAACTCTTAACTCCTTGTTCTCCTGTGTCCACCTTTAAAGTGCTGAAGTTACTGTCACTACCTCCAGTTTAGGTAACCCTGGGATTTGAACCCAGGGCTCAGTGCATGCTAAGCCAGCATTCTACCGGCTGAGCTGCATTGTCAGTCCAAAAGCAGCTTGTAGTTAACATTGGGCCCCACTGGAAATGCAGGATACCACCTCATTTCAAGATTCCTAATTTAACTACCTGTCAAGTGCCTCTTGCGGCAGAGCATAGCATAGCACAGCTTTCACTCACAGATGAAGTCAATAGGCAGCTTTTCAAATTCTGTGATGTGACCAGTAGAAGATGTGTTTGACCTGGACTTTGGCTTTTGCAGGGCCCAAGTTTGTTGCTTTAGCATGGCTCTATCTTTCTTTTTTTTAAAGATTTATTTATTATGTATACAGTGCTCTACCTGCATGTGTCCCTGCAGGCCAGAAGAGGGCGCCAGATCTCATTAGGGATGGCTGTGAGCCACCATGTGGTTGCTGGGAATTGAACTCTGGACCTCTGGAAGAGCAGCCAGTGCTCTTAACCTCTGAGCCATCTCTCCAGCCCCCGGCTCTATCTTTCTAAGTGTTTAATTTGAGTTGTAGCCTTGGAAGCAGAGGCCATATCTGCTGGTTCCCAGCATACAGCTCCCATCCTGGAGTAGGGGTGGTGGTGGGGCTGGAAAGTTCTGGTTCCCAACAGTGATAGATAATCCAGTTTGGGTCTGACTTCCTTTCCACTCATCTAGTAACTACTCTCAGGGCTTTCCCTGGGTACCCACTGTTTGCAGGCACCACATGTCGTGCTGCTGCTGTCTGTCAAACGTTTAGGGGCTCTGGGTCCCATCGCCTCCCCAAAGTCAGCTATCAAGCAAAGGATTCCAAATGCAGCTCCAGCTGTCAGAGACACAGTTGGTGATCCCCATTTGCAGAAGGGTTAGTCATTTAGTTGCCTTTCACTGTCCTTTAAGTTTTGTAAATGGCAAGCTTAGTTCAGAGTGGGTACAAAACAGACTGTTATTACTAAAGACAGAGAGGCCATAGCAGTTCTTACTGAGTGTACAGCTTCAGCATTGCAAGGAAGCAGCACTGTTTATTAGCAGATTCTGCCATGATCATGTCAGGCTGTGGTGCTGGCCTTGTTCAAAAGTGTTCTTAAAAGCCAGGGAGGTGAAACTTGAGAAATCCTTAGGATTTTGCAGGGGCCAGGCTGTCCTTGTTTGGTTTATTGGGTTTTTGGAAATGGAAGGCCCGTGCTGCCTTTCTAGCCACAGAGCCTGCCAGGGCTTGTCTTAGTCATGTGCCCTGGCATTCCTGGCACGAGTGGGATCCACGTGTGTTGTAAACGCACACTAAACCCAGGTTTAAAATGAGAGGGTGGTAAAGGGCAGGCAGCTGAAAGAATTCTCAACAACACATGGACGCTTCATGGATCTGTGGAAGCAAGCGAGTCCCTGGTTGACTGTGCAGGGGGAGAGCAGGCGACAGAATGAGGAAGCAGCCAGATTTTGCTCCAGAGCTGGTTGGAATGCTGCGTAAGAGAATGCTGTCTTGGCAAAACCTGGGACACATAGTTTTGATTTGTATCTCTGTCCAGATCTGGAGTTCCAGAGATTTGTGGTGGGCATGGGGTGGATTGGGTTGGGAAATCTCCTCAGTCCTCTGGACCTTGCTATAGAAGTTTCCAGAAATAAACTTAATCCTTATTTGCTGTAGCGGTTCTTAAACCCACTCATAAGCAGGAATCTCTCAGGCCCCCTTCAGCTCTGCAGATCTTCTGGGTTTGTCAGTTTGTGGGAAAGAGGAACAGCGGAGTCTGCACCACTCATCCCTTTCTGCTGTGTGTTGCAGGGGAAAGGCTTTGTTGGGTGGTGACAGAAATGCAGGAACAAACAATTCTGCCCTGGAGCAGGTGTGACCTGCCTGCTGCCCCTGCTTTCTCTGATCATGGCTTCATTGACTTTGTTTCTTGGTCTGACTTAACTAGAAAGCACTCACAGAGACATGCCACTAAGAAAGCTCATCTATTAAGCATTGGTTTCACTTACAGTTGGGAAAGCTCTCTCCCACTGTGGTGGTTTGAAAAAAAGTGGCCCCCAAAGGGAGTGACACTATTAGGAGGTATGTCTTTGCTGGAATAGGTATGGCTTTACTGAAGGAAATGTGTCATTGTGGAAGTGGGCTTTGAGGTCTCATATATGCTCAAGCCCAGTGTCTCAGACCACTTCCTGTGCTTGTGAGTCAAGACATAAGAACTCTCAGCTCCTTCTCTAGCACTATGTCTGCCTGCACGCTGCCCTGCTTCCCGCCTTAACGATAATGGACTAAACCTCTGAACTGTAAGTGAGCCACCATGATTAAATGTTTCTTTATAAGAGTTGCTGTGCGCATGTCTCCTCACAGCAATAAAACGCTAACTAAGCCACCTGCCATCTTCAGATCCATGTGTTTTAGAGCATTGAAAACATCTGTAAGAATATCATCCTATAACTGCAAAATCGTGCTTGGTTGGAATTACAGCGGATTCATGACCACAAATCAATTTGACAGTGTTTTTCCAGCTTCTCCAGCCCCGTATGTGACCCTCATCATGATTGTAGGTCTCCGAGATGGGATGAGATGGACTGGACCAGGGCTGAGGCTGCCCTACAGAGCTGAGCTGTTGTTACCAGGTTTCCTGTTTGCTCTGGATATCCCAATGGCTCTGGCCAGCATGAAGTAACTTTGCATTTCTGTCACAGGTAGAGCAGGTCAGCCAGCTGGCCGTGTTTGTAGAGGCAGCATTAGACTATCACAGGCAGTCCACAGACATCCTCAAGGAGCTACAGAAGAAGCTAGAGTTGCGGTAAGCACTTTTGCTTTGCTTAGGCAGGGGGCTGCCGAGTGCAGCCACTCTCTGTCCTCCGGCCCCTTCTGACCCATTCTGTTTGGAATTCTGTGTAGCTGGCTTTCAGGTTGAGTGTGAGATGAGGCTAAGATAATATGTATGTGGCTTGGGACAAGAGGGCAGAATGGGGTAAAGGGCTGGAATGACTCCTCCTATTTCTTTTTATTAATACCCCCTTGTTTGTGACCCTGTGTAGAACATGCAAGCACTGTGGCTTGCCTGTCTGAGAAGTGGCTCCTGTGGCTTCCATGCTGATAGACAAAGGTTCATTCTGCTGAGAGAGTCAGACACTCAGAACTACGTAAAAATGTTATCAGGCTGTGCTCCTATGACCCACTCTAGAAAGAGTCAGTGATAGCCTCTGAAAAAAGAAATACTGTTCTCTGCCTTGGGACTTTGCACTCCCTACTTTCTGAAAGTCAGTCATATCATTTACAGTGTGCACAGTAGCCCCATTAATCAAATTATTGGGCTAAGTCTACACCATGTTTTGACTAGGCTTTATAACAGAAAATTGTTTTACATAGGATTATAGTAATGGATAAATTTGGAGAGCCTTTTGCTTCAGTAGGGGCTGTAGTTACAGAAGGGAAGTTGTTGCTGCAGCACCCACTTCTGTAGGCAGGTGGCCTTCTAGGTGTCATCCGAACATATTTGGATGGTCCCCTCTCCAGCAGAGAGGAAAGAAGGCAGCTAGCCTAGGGCAGTGTCTGCTAAGCCTCAGGGATATTATGAGGACATTCTTCCAGATGAATTTCGGCTAGAAACTAAAGTACATGAAGGAAGAACTAACTGCACACATGTCATGTCCCTGACACTTAGGGCGCTCAGAAGTCAGTGTACACAATCCTTGTTCTCACAAGCCCATTGGGTCTGGTGGTCTTCAAGAAAGTCAAAGGCCTGTGGTGGCTCTGCTGTCTGGGACAAAGGTCTGACTTGGCCTTTCCCATGTGTGTTACAGAATAACTTACGCCTCCAAAACCCCCAAGCGAGAATACGTGTCAAAGCCTGTGAACACGGGTCCCAGTGACGTCAATGGAGTCTCCACCAGCAAGTCATCAAAGATGTCAGGTAAGTTAGCCATCTGAAGTGTGCCCAGTGGGTCTCCAGCTAGGTGCTTTCATCCTTGTATGTTGGTGAGGCTATTGGTGGGAATGCACTGAGAAACTAGTGGGCATTCCTTGGTCAATTGATGAGTTCTCCCCTTTTCCCAGTTCCAATTGTCAGGTGTTCAGATTTTGAAAACCTGTACTGGGAAGAAGTCCCTTGTATACTAATGCCTTCTAGTGTGGCTGTTAGACATCCCCTTGGCTAAAGACCCATAGCTGCTATGTTATCTTCTATATTTAAAGGTCTATACCTTTAAAATAGCTTCCCACTTGTTAGAAAGTTTTAGTGTTCTCCAAGGGCCTGAGATGGGCCTGACACCACCTCAAGTACTGTACTGTTAGATGTTAAATAGGAGCAAGAGTAAAATGAACTGGGGAAAAATTCAAATGATGTATATTTTCCTATAGTCTCTATAGGATTTCCAACTCCATCTGATTTCCTCCCTAGACATAGCCTCTCCTAATGACTGAGTATGTCTATTGTCCTGTCTGTAGCTGGCACATGTATTTCACATATAATGTAGTCTTATTTTTTGTTTTGTAGTTACAATACAATTTTGTATTGCTCTACAATTCCCCCCCAAATGCATTGCTCTTTCTTGTAGTTATTTGCATTTTGTACATAAGCCTCTCCCACTGTGTTTAGCAATTTCATGTTTTTGCATGACCACTATTAACTGCTGCAGTGACCGCTATTACTCCCTTATCTGCCTCAATATATAACTGAGTAAGACTGTCACTGTCTAGAAATGAAATTGCTGAGTCAGCAAGAAAGTAAGGATTGGATGTGGGAATGTGCCACTGGTGTTTAAATGATGGTGGACATTGCCAAGCGACACTCCAAAATTGCTGCACTATTAGGTCAGTATGTGCCAGATCTCAATTTCTGTCAAACATTTCTATATAAACAAAATTTAACCTTTCTGAAATCACTAGATTAGACATTTTTCTGTTTTAATTGATCGCTAAGTTGTTCTATTCTAGAAAATTTGCCTTGCCTTTGTGATTTGTAGGAAATCTTTTTTATGGGTTATTAATAGCTTTCTTTTCTCAGTTTGTCACTTATCCTCAAACTTTGGGATGTGCTTTTGTTTTTGTTTTATTTGCCTTGTTTGATTTTGTTTTGAGGACGTAGGCACTCTTATTTTGGTGTAGACAACTTTATCAATATTTTTGTTTATGATTTGTACATTTTATGCCCTGCTGAGAAGTCTTCCTTTCCATGGGATTATCCTACTAAGGTTAGGTCTTTGTCATCTGGAGTTTATTTTTGTAAACAATGAAACTGTCAAGCCACCAGAGTGGCTGCACCATCTCATGTTCCCACCAGGCAGGTGTGTGATCTGTCTCTCCTCATCTGTGCCAGCGTTTTCTGTTGCTTTTATTTTAGCCACATTGATGCTGATGCAGAGAAGCAGGCACCTGTCTGCTGTACACGTTTGCTGTGGAATATTGCTTTAATTATGTAAGGATGTGTTACATTTGTTTGTTTCAGGGTATTGTTTTAACTGTGTAAGGATGTGTTACATTTGTTTGTTTCAGGGTATTGTTTTAACTGTGTAAGGATGTGTTACATTTGTTTGTTTCAGGGTATTGCTTTAACTGTGTAAGGATGTGTTAAACTATTTATGCTGCATTTGTTTAACAATATAAAGATGTGTTGCTGCTTTACTTTGTCTTCCTTAGGTTCCTGATTGGTCTGATAAAAAGCTGACCGGTCAATAGCTAGGCAGTAGAGGGATAGCAGGGGCTGGCAGGCAGAGAGAATAAGTAGTCGTAGGAGTCTAGGATAGAAAGGAGAGAGAGAAGAGAGCATGAGGGAGAGAGGGAGACACCTGGAGCCAGCCAAGCAGCTGCCAAACAGCCAGGCACAGAGTAGGACACACAGAATGCAAGAAAGGTAAAAAGCCCCGAGGCAAAGTGTAGATAAAGAGAAACAGGTTCAATCAAGTTGTCAGAGCTATTGGGACAAGCAAAAGATAAGGCCGAGCATTGATAGCTAATAATAAGTCTCTGTGTCATGACTTGAGAGTGGCTAGGTGGCCCAGAGAAAGCCTGCTGCATGTGCTTTTGTGGATGAGATGTCTCTTCCCATCTTCACCCATTTTATAATTGAATTATTTCTATTTCTACTGCTGAGCTGTGTCAGTTCTTTACATAGGTCAAATAGAAGGCCTTTGAAATACATATAGTTTTCAGCGTATTCTCAATCTTTTTATGAGCTCTTTACAGGTCTGAACTTTTAATCATGGCGTACTATGTTTCAGGTTTTTTCTCTTATAAACTGTGCATCTGGTGTGGAGTGTTGAGTATTCTCTGCCTTGAATGCTGAAGGTATTTCTCCCAACCTTGTTCTGAAGTTCTCCATCTGTACAGAGTTTCTGTTTACACAGGTGTGAGACTTGGGTTGACATTCGTTTGCTTTGCTCCCTGATGTCCAGGTGTTCATTTTGGAACACACATGACCATGGAAGCTGAGGTCTGAGTTTTCTCTAACATTGAAACACATGTTTTCTTTCATTGAAAAATCAAAACTATCAGGTTAATCTGCATATATTTTTAAAAGAAAATTGCACTCAAGGGGTACAGCCATGACAAACAGCAGCCCCCTTTCCATCCTGACTCATTCCCTGCTCCCAGAAGCCTCTTCCACTTGTTTGCTACTTGTTTGACATTTAACTCTATAGTTCAGAACACCAAGTGTGGATTATTCTTATTTTGTTTTGAGTCCCTCATGTTTCCTGATATGGAAGCTGAGGCCTTTATTCTTTCTGTCTCCAATACACTCTCTGCCTGTCCAGTTATCATCACCATTTAAGAAAATATTCACATTACAAATATGACTTCCTTCATTTGGGAGTCTTAAAAATGCCTCCTCCCTCTTCTGCTGTTTCTTTAAATGCAATTGTCTGTTTCCCATTGAAGTTACAGTCTCCACTGATCTGTTGTACATGGAAGCTGGGTATCAGGGAAGTGGGTGTATGTGGCTCTCTCTCTCTCTGTGTCTCTGTCTCTCTGTCTCTGTCTCTCTGTCTCTCTCTCTCTCTGTCTCTCTTGTCCTATTTCCATAGTTTTCTTTCAAACTCCTACACCTCCGGGCCAGGCTGGACTAACAATCACAACAGGATTCTTCCTGTCTCTTCTGTATTGTTTGTTTACAAATTCTGTCTGGTGGTCTTCTGCACATCAGAATCAAAAATTTGTTTTTATTTTATGTGTTGAGTGTTTTGCCTGCTTGTATGTATGCACTCCATGTATACGCAGTACCTGTGAAGTCCAGAAAAGGGTATCAGATCCCTGAAACTGGAGTTACAGTTGTGTGCAACTGTGTAGGTGCTGTAAACTGTCTCCTGCAAGAATAACTACTACTTTCAAGCATGGAACCACCTTTTCAACCCCTACATATCACTAAAAACAAAGCAGATAGTTCTGTAGTCTCAGTGCAGACCTCTACTTCATAATCTATAACAATGATTTGTAGTATCATGAGTAGAAAAATCATCTTCCCAGAGCTGGGTAAGCATGAGGACTGGAGTCTGGATTTCCAGTATCCATGCCATCCATGCGAATTCCAGGTGGGCATCTCCACCTAATGTCCCAGGCTTTAGGAGACAGACACAGAGTCTTCAGGGCTAGCTGGCTAGCTAGATCACCTAGCTAAATGGGTGAGGTACGGGTTCACATGAGAGATGCTGCCTCCATATACAAGGTGAAGAGTAATTGAGGAAGATACCCGATGGCTCTGGCCTCCACTGGCATGCATGCAGGTATGCAGTGCACCCCCAAGTATACTCACACCTATGAGAACATGCATACACACATGCACACACACACACACACGCACGCACGCACGTATGCACGCACAGAGAAAGAGAAAAATATAGTGTTCTCAGCAGTGTCACCTGGTGTGTCATGGCCACGCCTCTGTCGTCTCACAGCTTCTTGCATCCAGGCACTGCAGCTTTGTATCTTGGGGCCAGGCCACATTTTTCCTGTCTTTGGGCTTTGTTTCTTACCATTGTTGGCTTCCTAGTTTCTTTGTATTTCCAGGTGAATTTTAGCATTAGCTTTTCTATCACCACAAAAAGAGCACATTCTGATTTTAATTTTGTTTGGATCCAATCTACAGATCATTGAAGAGGGGGAGCCAATGGCCTAATCCTATAGAATGTTCTGATCTTGATCACAAACCACTCATTTTTCTCAGCAGTGTTTTGTATTGATTACAAAAGTGTCCAAAAGAAGAAGCTTAAGAGGAGGTGGCTTCCTTTTGTCTCAGGTTTTAAGGAAGGTTATAGTCCCCACGCTGCTGTGACAGAGACAGACAGATCCCTGGGGCTCCAGGTCAGTAATAGATCCTGTCTAAAAAAAAAACGGAGGGATGGCTCCAGAGGAATGACACCTAAGAATGACTTTGTCACCCACAAGTCTGTTCACATAGGTGTCACGTGAACATGACCCTTCCTCTCACAAGAAATGATTCACATTCTCTCTAACATATTTCTTCTTCCCCAGTCACTGTTTTTTCCCAAATAGTTCATTTTTACCTTTAACACCCTGAGACTGTCTTATGGTCCAGAACATGACCCATCTTGGCTCTGTGTGGCCCTGGAAATAATCTGTTTCACTCTTGCTGGTTGTTCTGTTAAGCAGCAGGCCAGGTTAGGGCGATTTCCCGGCTGATGTTTGTCTTTTCCTGTTAATTTGTGAGTAAGAAGCATTGAGGAATGGCAGTGGTGGGTGTGTCTTGTTGAATCAGAACACTGGGAAGGCGGGTCCCATTCCTTCCTTCTCCCTCCATCCTCACTGATCCTTTTAGCCAGTTACTCACGTTGTTTATGAGTGTGGGGTATCTATTACCTTAAACCCTTTTTCCCCTCAGACCTCCACTTGTAAACTTCTGTTATTTACTATTACTGCTGTTTTGAGACAGGGTCTCACTTATACAGACCGAATGCAGAA